TCTTTTCTTTTCTTTTCTTTTCTTTTCTTCTTTCTTTCTTTCTTTCTTTCTTTCTTTCTTTCTTTCTTTCTTTCTTTCTTTCTTTCTTTCTTTCTTTTCCCAGAGCCAGGGATTGAACTGAGCTTAGTGTCTTGAGGAATATGAATAAGTCCAGCGTGGTTGCAGCAATTCATGAAATGAAATTATATTATGAGATGAAACCATAGACTAGAGTCAGACCATAGTGACCTTGGTAAGCCAGGGTAAGGGATTTAGATTTCAAATTCAGGAGGAGAAACCATCAAAAGCTTTAAGTAGAAAAATGACAAAGTGCAACTTGTACTTTTTAAACTATCTTGGGCTGTATATGGAGAACACATTGTAGGATGAAGCAAGAGTGGAAGAACAGAGCAGTTAGGAAATTGTTGTAGTAGTCCATGTAGAACATGATGGTTTCTGAGGTTAGGACAATAGTAATTGATAGAGAGAAACAGATGTATTTGGGGTAGGTTTTAGAGGTAGATTTGACTGAATTCATAATAAGTTGCATTTCAGGAAATAAGAAAAAGACTATCAAAGATAATAGCCTAGATTTTTTAGGTGGGCAGTTGGGTAAATGGTTATTTTATTAAGGGGAAAAACACAAGAAGACAGGTTTGTGAGGAAGAGTTCTACATATTAAGTCTTTTTTATTTTTTTTATTTTTGGCAGAACTGGGGATTGAACTCAGGCCCTTGTGCTTGCCAGGGAAATGCTTATTCCACTAAGCCCTCTCCCCGGTCCCCAACATATTAAGATTTTTAAAAAATATATTGTTACTAATCACAGTTTGTAAGCAGTATCAACTAACTGGTTCATGTGAGCAGAAAATTTCTTTTAGAAACAACATTAGATAGCTTACAAAATTTCCACAGAAAGTTTACCAACATTGCAAAATGGATCATTTTATAGGGAGTTTAGGAACTCAATCATACTGCCTAATTAGTCTGGGAAAGACATGATGTTGCCACTTCAGAACACTGGATTCAGGGATTTATACCATCCTCATTCCTGCCACTAGCACCTGTAATTAGTTCTTCACTGTCTTGCTGTTTTGGTTAATTACTGACTACTCAGTAGCCCCAGTAGATATATCTGACTGATCCAGCCAGGGCATGAAGCTAGCTGCCAGGGATGCTGGGGAAGCAAATACCTACCTGGCTTCTTAGATGTCTCAATGGGAAGTGGTCTTTCACAGAACTCACATAGTGCAAAATTCCCTGGACTCCTAAAGGAGATTCTAAAATTGGATAGGAAAAAAAGGACATAAGAATATAAACAGTGAATCTGTCTATAGGCATCCATGTGGAGATATCCAACAGGCAACTGGCTATATGAGTCTGGAGTTTGAGGGTCAGAGTATGGAATATAGCTTGGAACTATCTGGTATGTAGATGAAGTTTAAGTCCATGGATGAGGGCATTTAGAGAAGAGAAATGGGTGAGAGTCATAGTCTGAAAGGGAGGAACAGCTAGCAAAGGAAGCTTAGGACGAAACCATTGAGGTAGTAAGACCAGGAGAAAAATGATGTCTCAAAAGCCAGGATAGGGCCAGCCAAATAGCTCAGTGGATTAAAGCATCTGTAAGCAGGCACAGGGGCTGGGGGTTCAATCCCCAGGCCTGCTGTTCCAGCCCCACCCACGGGCGCACTGAGACAGCAGTTGAGACTGGGTATGATGGCATGTGCCTGTAATCCAGCTCTTGGGAGGCTATAAACAGGCAGATGGCTACGAGTCCAATCTAGTAGTGAAACCCTGAACACCCTGTAGACCCTCTCCCACCCCCCCAAAAAAGAAAAAGCCAGGATAAAAGTATTTCCAGAAGAAAGTGATTTCTAGTGCTAAATGTTGCCTGGAGGTTGACATGAGACATCATAAACACTGGGTTAAGATATAGGTGGCAATGGCTTATGTTTTGATTTTCAGAGTTCTCTAATACATTATTTTTGAAGTGATATCATTAGCCCAATCAGTAAACAAACATTATTGAAGATATACTCTGTGCTATGCATAGCAGTACAAAAATCTTATGGTCAGTTTATTACAAGGACTCCTGGCTTCCACTCCTGGAAATTCTTCCTTAATAGGTATTTCTTGCATCTGTTTGCATCAAGCACTGCAGGTGATTATGGTGCAGGTATTCCTTGAACTATACTTTAAGAAAAATGGAACAAGAGAAGATGAATTTTTTTAATATGTATATAGTCTGCCTACTTCCACAGATAGCTTCAGAAAGCTTCAAAATATTTTTAATTAAATTTAAAAATTAGGGTCACAAGGCTAGGGATATAGCTCAGCCCAGCCATGTAGTGCCTGTCTGGCATGTATAATGTTCTGAGTTTGATTCCTGGTACAAAAAAAAAAAAAAAAAAAGAGAAGTTAGGGGAACAGAAGATAGATACATTAGCAGTGTGAGACCTTAGAAGGGTAATATAATTTTCCAAGTCCTAAAGTCCTATCTTATTGATAACATTGAACAATATATTTTACTCTTAATTTCTAGGCAACCAAGCTTAAATGTGATATTGTAGTTCAATCAGTCAATCAATCAGTAAAAGCTTCTATTTATCAAAGCTTCATGTATTCTAAAAATACTGCATTCTAAAAGTTCTTAACATTAGAAATAAGACTGAGAAGCAAAATTCACATTCTCAAGAGAAGTAAATCTATCATCTTTTTTTTAAAGGAATATAATAGGTTATATGGATACACTATTATATATACTAATAGGCTATATATTAATTGCTCTACTCAGAATACCTCATGAGGTAGATATTAGCCTTACTTCATAAACAGGATACTGAAAGTTACAGTTTCCTAAATATATACAATTAATACATGGCAGAGCCAAGATTTGAACCCAAAGTCTATTCCCTTGTGGACTACACTCTGCACATTGAAGGACATTTGGAGATTAAAGAAATATATATAGGAGAAAAGAAATAACCATAATTCAGCTACTATTATCCATTTTTAAAAGTTGAGATATATTTTCTTTCATTCTTAAGAAAGATAACTTTAACCACTTAACATTTTACCCTGAGCAGCTTATCACTTGGGCAGCACATTTGTACGTACTGACTATCCTTAGCATTGCTTGCACAGGTTTCATGTCAACCATTGGTTCTTGTATTCAATAAATTCAATAAAATTACTGTTTTTATATTTCCTGTTATCTTATAAAAGTTAACCAAAAATTCAAGTTTTGCTCATTCTGCATTTAAATAATTGGACTGGTAAGTGGTTAAGTTTTTCTGATTCTAGAAATAAGTGTACTTATTTTTAAAGCCTTAGAAAATAGAAAAGTAAAAGAGTAAATAAAAATCCATTCTGGAACCCAGTTATAAACACGTCAGTATTTTGATATATTTCCTCTTAGGCTGGTGTTTATGCTTTTCTATTTATATGTACATTTTCTTTTTGACCATTCTGGAATCTCTGAAGTTTTCTATCCTTTGCAATATATCAGTGTTCTTTATCTTATTAAAATTCTTTGAAATCATAATTTTTCTGACTGCTTAAAATTCCACTTAATACCTTTGCCATAATTTAATCATTCCACAATCATTAGGGTTATTTTACTGATTGCTATAAAGCTATATGAGCATTAAGTATTTGTTGACAGGAATGCAGGGAAACACACTCTCCACTGTTGGTGTTTATTTTTATTGATACATTTTCTTTTCAGGTATGAAATAATTTCAAAATGTTAATGACCTTCCCAGTAGTTCAATTTCTGGGAGTCTCTCCAACAGACCCAGACTTTTTAATTATATTCCATGCTCTTCCTTAGGATCTAAACGCTCCTCCCACAGCAATGCTTATTTTTATGGCTTCTTCAAGAACAAGAGAATAGTTTTGTTTGACACTCTACTAGAAGAGTACTCAGTACTAAACAAAGGCATCCAAGAGGAATCTGGCATGGAACCCCACAATGATGGAGAAGGGGACAGTGAAGAAATAAAAGTTAAAATTAAAGTGAGTTATTTTTTTTCCTAAGAGACTCTTAGTTTTTATACACAGTATCTGTGACAACTCAATGCAACTTCTAAGCAATGAGTGTCGAATTCAGGGAGACTACCAAATAAAAACATTGTCCCTATAAAGTTCTGGTGATTGGGAGAGATTGCCAGTAAGATTACATGCTAACTGTCTGACAGGCTTTTACAGAATGTATGTATTAAAATTGGAAGTTCTTGTAAGATAAGAAAGTTCATAAAGAAGAAGCAGGCTATGTCATGTACAGGTACAGATTACCTATGTTGAATGTGATCATTATACATACCTAAATTGTACCAATAAACTTAATTTAAAAGAAGAAAATTCATATAATAAACTATATATTCCTGATATGATCAAAGAATTCTCAAAGGTTATAAGAGAAGAAAGAGAAGATAAACATTTAATTTTTAGGTGTAGACAGCAATTATAGGCCTTATCAGTAGAGAGACTTGGATTTTAGTCCTGGTTCTGTCATTTAGTAGCTGTGTGCTCTTAGTTTTGTTTAACATATATTTTAGAAATAATATCCTCTGTGCTGAGACACTTAGATTGGCTCCAGGAATACAAAAGTAATGAGGCAAACCTTCATAAACTTGTAGTGTAAAGAGGATATGGTCACACAAGTCCACTTGTGTAGAACTGCACTGGGAAGCTTTAGATACTGGACACATGAAAGCATAATTTAAACAGATGCTCCTAAATCTGACCTGAAAATCTGAGAGGGCTGCTTCTGAATCCCTTCCTGGATGAGGTCTGCTTATGCTTATTGGCAACATTTAAGTACCAAGAGCAGATAGGAGAAAGAGGGCAATAATGTCAAGTAATACAAATTTCAGCAGAGACAATCACCAGTATTTGTGCATGGTAGCAAGGAGATGGCTTTGGTGTAGTACAGAAATGATTTTAGATCTGTTCACTTACCATCTGTGTGGCTCTAAGCAAGTAAATTAAGCTCTCTAAATCTCTCATTTCTTTTTTCTTTTGACAGAACCAAGGATTGAACTCAGGCCTTTGTGCTTGCCAGGCAAGCACGTATTCTACTGAGCCATATCCCCGGCTCCTAAATCTCTCATTTCTTAGCTGAAAGATGAGACCAGGATGTTTTCTCTATATGGATAATTTTGTTGTGGTGGAAGGTATCTGGTGTAGAAGAGGATATTTAGCACTAGAGACCAGTGACAACTCCTCTAATCCTCCCTAAACTCTAAAAACCATAATTGTCTCCAGATATCCATAAAGTGTGTATGCGCAAGGGGGTAGGATATCCTTTTGTTAGGAAACACCTTACTGTAGATGCCCACCTTTTCGGA